TTTGCTGACCGTCCCTGTTTGGAACTACCTCTCTTCACTGTTCTTCTGGTAACATATGCCCTGGCCTTGGGGGGCAACATAGTCATCATTCTGGTGTCCACATTAGACCCTCATCTGCACAGCCCATGTATTTCTTCCTCACTAACCTTTCCTTCCTGGACATGTGCTACACAAGCATTGTACCTCAAGTGGTGTTTAACCTGGGAAATTTGGAACTACCTCTCTTCACTGTTCTTCTGGTAACATATGCCCTGGCCTTGGGGGGCAACATAGTCATCATTCTGGTGTCCACATTAGACCCTCATCTGCACAGCCCATGTATTTCTTCCTCACCAACCTTTCCTTTCTGGACATGTGCTACACCACAAGCATTGTACCTCAAGTGGTGTTTAACCTGGGAAATTCCACAAAGACCATCAGCTACGTGGGGTGTGCACTTCAGCTTTATGTCTTCCACACAATGGGGGTCACAGAGTGTCTTCTTCTGGCTCTTATGTCCTTTGATCACTATGTAGCCATCTGAAGACCTCTGCACTACACTCTTATCATGAATCAGCGCATCTGCTCCCTGTTAGTGTCCACTGTGTAGCTGACTGGGATTTTCTATGCCTCTATGTCTCAGAGGTTACTGTGACACTGTAGCTGCCACTATGTGGCCACAATAAACTGGATCACTTGGTGTGCAATATTCCAGTATTGATAAAGACAGCCTGTGGTATAAAGGAAGCCAGTGAGCTTGCTCTCACTGTGGTGTGCATTTTTGTAGTAGCTATACCTCTGTGCTTAATTCTTGCCTTTTATGTATTGGATGTGCTGTACTTAAGATCAAATCTTCAGAGGGAAGGAAGAAGGCCTTCGGTACCTGTTCCTCTCATCTTGTTGTAATTTTTCTTATTTTATGGTCCAGCCATTAGCATATACCTTCTGCCCCCATCCTCCATCACAAGGGACCAGCCCAAGTTCATGGCTCTCTTCTATGGAGTGGTGAGAGGGAAGGAAGAAGGCCTTCGGTACCTGTTCCTCTCATCTTGTTGTAATTCGCTTATTTTATGGTCCAGCCATTAGCATATACCTTCTGCCCCCATACTCCATCACAAGGGACCAGCCCAAGTTCCTGGCTCTCTTCTATGGAGTGGTCACTCCAACACTGAACCCCTTCATCTACACCTTGAGGAATAAGTATGTAAAGAGGGCTGTAAGGAATTTGGCTAAGAGAATTTTTAGTTCAAAGTGAAAGCTTTGTGACATCATATTAAATAGCCAACTATTAG